TTCAAAGTGTTAATGCTGGTTGAAGCCGGTCTTCATATGCTAAAGTGAGATACAGTGTTTGGCATGTAGGCCCCTTGCCTAAATGAGGAATTTGGGTAGTCCCTTTGCAGGAAATCATCACTCAGATGGGACACTTTGCTCTACGGATGCCTCTGTCCTTTTCCATTATCCTGTTCAGGGAGAGCTTAAGGCATTGACTCTGTTGCTGCTCCAAGTTAGGCATTTCTGTTAGTCATTTCTGAAACAGGAGCAGAATTATCAGCACAGATATTCTTATTTGCCTTCTTCTGGTATCAGACCTGAACTTAAAATTTGGTGTGAGGAAAGCATGTTGTATCACACTCATCATGCAGTTGCWAGAGTTTGTATGGGGGGAAGCACGCGTCAAGGAATGTAAATTGTTAATGCAGATGGTGTCAGTGTGGTTCTCTGTCACAGCTGACAGAGAAATGGATTTTCAGAAATCTCAATCCTGAAATACCAGAATTTTGCTGTCTAACACAGCATTTCCAAGTATAATTCCTTCTAACTATGCCCGTGATTATTTGCATCAGCAGTAATGGAACTGACCACAAAGTAAATTTACTAGGCTATCTAGGTCAGGTCAAACTAGCAAATTTTGTTTCATGGCTTAGAAAGCATCTTTGACTGTCAAATACATYGTATAAATACTTCAAAACTGGTAGGATGGCAAAATCAGATGTGTCAGAGTTAATGGATTAAAAAATCTACTCTTTTGTCTATATGAATTTTTATTAGGCTTTTCATGACACAGGATGTATGTTTCTAACATAGGTTGCCTTTCTCATTCTGTACCATTGATGCGTGCCCCTGTCTAAATAAGGTTTTTTTAGATTATTTTTCTTCTAATCCATGTAATTCAGTATGTGGTTTCATGTATTACTTATTATCCTGCATTCAAATCTTGCACTGAGCACAGAAGTAACAGGAAGGAATATTTGTTATTACTATTTAATATTAATAAATACTTGAACAAAATGTGGTCACTGTAGGAAGTGACCACATTCTAACAACCTCTTCTGTTAAAGTGAGTCAAGATACCGAATTCCCTTTGAGTCASTAAAAATTCAAAATAATTAGAAAATACATGAATGAAATCCAGTGTTTTCTGAGGATCTTCAGCTCCTCAGAATCTGATACATCTGTCATGTGATTCTCTTGCTTGACCACTCAAATGAGGCACAATTTAAGCCCTAGCATGCTGTGGGGCCATTCTGTCCTCCCAAGGGGGTAGTTTGTGCTTTGCAGAATCCAAAGTGGTTCCCATAGAGAAAGGCAGTTTAATACTTCTGTTGGCCTGTTTGGAAATTAAATATTTTGCATCAGTTAAAAAATCTGTTGCCACAGGATCTTAGATTTTTACTGTTGTTGAGGGCAGAATAAAAATTTGCCATGGGCAGAATGGGAGCTTCAGACAAAGTTCCTTAGAGAAGCCTTCCCATTGAGTCTTCCCAAGAGGTGCAGAAGGGACCTCTTTGCTTTCCCAAGTCCTTCTCAGAGAGGAGTCCAGGCAGAGCATCCTGCTACAACTATTCCCCTGCAAATCCCATTTTACCAAATGGAAATGAGATTAACACCAGTTACCACAAGAAATCTGAGATTTTACTTGACCATATATGCTTAGAACAAGGCTTCTGTTAAAGGTAGTTACAGCTGTGAATATTCAGTGGAACTCAGACCCAAACACCTCAAGTTTGGTGGTTAGAAGAGTAGGACCATACAATTAATGATCAGCTGAAAATGTAATTAGCATGGTTTGCTTCATGTAGGAATCRTACAGTTGCTGTACCAGCAATATGGGAAACTTTATGCAGGAACTCAGTGGCAGACGGAGGGATGAAGCACAATGCAGCATTGAGCTGTTTTAATCTCATTTCTGCAGGGGCAGACTTGGGTCATACCAGTGGAAGATTTATGCATGTACCAACTGAGCACATTGATGCTGAGTTCTGAGGTACACTGGTCCTTTATAAAGCCTGCTCAGAGCCATCCGCTTGGGAGAGTTGATGGTTAGACAAGCCAGAGTTGTGAGGAGCTGCCTAAATCTAATCCCACCACAGCCCTCTGCCCTGGATCCAGCACCTGAAGTGACCCCCAGAGATTATCCATGCATCTCAGCTGGAATAACTGAGCCACTGCCAAAAAGGTGGCAGTAACCTTTTATGTAATAGCCTGATAGGAGTCACCTCTTCTTACTCACCGGACATACAGTTTATGGAGTGAGTATTCCTGTAGAATTCTCCTGCCCAGACTTGTGCCGTTCATGTATTTTATGTTATGCCTATGGCTGAGTCACCTTCAGTGCCACACTCAGCAGATAAAATGGAATCCAAAACTGTTTGCATTTTATAGATGATAAGCATCAGAAAACAGGTTCATAATGGAMAGTGTAGTACAAAGTTAGCTGTACTACCCTGTGAGTATTCATGTGCAGAAGTGTATGGGGATGGAACAGGCTGCAGCAAAATGTTCGTCATTTTGTGTTCAGTTCCACCTAACCTCTTTGAAGAGCTATGATTGCTGATCTTGTAGTTTAAGAACTGGATGAGAGAATTGGGTCTCTGAGGTATTAGAGTCACTAAACAGTATAAACAGCCACTGTTTTGGCTGACAATATGTTGGTGAAGTTTGAATTAGTACTTCTATAGTTCTCATCCATCTTTACTTTCCTCGACTGAAGTTCTGCAGATGGGTCTTTGTAGCATGGGACACATTTTGGTACAATTTTGAAGAAATTTATAAGTTACTTAAAATTTTCCAAAGCAATAAAAATTCAGATTGTGATTTCTTTTTAGGAAGAGTTCTGTGATACAAGCTGAAATTATGCAGGGTATGGCTGCATAATATGTGATGTACAGAAAACAGGATTATTTAAGAATATGATTGTATGTAAATACACCTTTTAGAAAAGTAAATTGCAAAACTTTTAAGTATTCGAAAGTGTATRTATATGTATMTATATGATGTGTATCTGTATATTTATGATACCAAATTAATAGGGACACTTTATTATCAATGAGGTTATAGATAAATAATCTGTTAATGATGCTAATACCTGCACAGAGGGTATAGTTWAAAGGAACTTTTAAAGGCTGTAAAGCAAGTAACTTTCAGGTGTGTTTACTTCTAGCTATAATTTTTTTCTTGCATTATGCTATGTGGAAAWGAATTTGTATGAAATTGCTATGAAGCAAATGCAAACCTCTGAAAGTGCCAAATCATCCATATAGGCAGTTCTGTTTCCAGAATCCCCAACACTCCTAAGAGCCTGAAATGACCTTTGAAACCGATGCATAATTAYGGTGTCACACAGCTGGGCATCAGGGCTAGATGTTTTTGTCTTTGTCATTTAGACGGGATTCTCAGTTAATTAGAGAAATGAGGATTTTGAAGAGATAGTAAAACYGTCATTAATTCTGCAAACTCTTACTTGGCCAGTTTACTTAGAAATTATTTGGACCAAAACAGAGCTCCAAATCCTGTTTTTCCGTAAAACTATTGACAACGTTCTCTAGTATCATTAATTTTCTCTGCACTAGTGAAGCTTATGCGATTTATTTTTATTTATACTAGTGAGCCTTATACACCGTKATTTCCTTCATGCTGCGGCAGAGCTGAAGAGGCAGCTGTTCCCTCAGCCTCCCGCTGTTCTGTTCCCTGCCGTGGATATCTGGAAGTCTTGTGCCCTCTTGTGGTGCACACATCCAGGGAAGCTCAGGCAGCAAGCCTGGCATCCTGTCCGTGTCATCAGTTAGGGCACAAACAGCAGTATATTGGGAAACAAAATGAACAAGGACGCTAAAAATCGTGAGCTTCTCCAGATAAAGACAAAAATATCCGTTGTTTCATGCACAGAGCTAAGCCAGATAATAGCCACATTAGCACCATGGTCAATTAACCCATCAATACTAGCAATATATCTGTGTGGCATAATATATCCAAGATAAGAATCAGAAGAGGTCAAGAAATAAAATTTGATCCAGTGTTAACATGCTAAGGCCGGGAATGTTTTTGAAAGTGGGTGAAAATCTCGTGTTCTGATTCTGTAGTTTAAAAGGTCAATTTTAGCTGCATCTTCATTAAAATGGTAAGTTGTTAGCAGTAATAATGCTCCCAAATTTTAAGTTGTGTATATACCTGTGCTGTGGAATATAGCCAGCCTTCCTAATAAAAGCCTTTATGCTTTTATTGCAGTGCCTGAACAAAACGTTTTTTCTAGGGAGGGCTCAGTAGCACAGGCAGTTAGCAGAGGAGAAAAATACTAAAACAACCTTTAGCAGAGAAAAAACTATTYGAACAACCTCAGGTGTGAGACTCAGGCACTGTTATGAAAATATTCCCAATTCTCAGTAGCATGTGTGATAATGAAAGAAAAGATCCCTGTTAAAGAGAGGTTCAGGGTAAGCATCACTTAATTTACTGTGCTTAAGCGTACTGAACTTGCAGTATTTCTGAAAAATAAGGAATATCTATTGAGCTATTTGAATTGTTAAACAGAAGCAGCAAGAGTAATTTCAGGCCCTGGAAAAARCAAAAGGCAAAGGCTGTATGGTGAGGGAAGGGGCAGGGATATGGTTTTTAATACCTGGCAGCAGGTTTTTAATATCATTTCAATGGATAGTTATATTAAATCCTCTCTCCCCCCCCCCCATATGTCCCTTTGAAGAGTGATTGCTTACATTGAATGGCAGGTGCCGATTGGAGGTCACCTTGTACAACGTGAGCTACATGGGCAGTGCTTTTCTAAATACTTCCTGTATTTTATGTTGTACTTCAGAAAATAGCAGTGGGGAAAATAGTGGAACAGCACTGGAAGACATGTAGGTCTTGTGGATGTTTGGTTGTAAATGATATGGTTGTTTCCTTTTCTCAATTACGTAGGATGACTCCTGCACAGAGCTTGTTACTGAAATGAGCATTCAGTGGAACACCTGCTCCCAAATGTTTTTCACACTGTTGTTCTCCTTTGTCCCTTGTAGGTATGGAGAGTGCAATCACACTGTGGCAGTTCCTATTGCAGTTGCTGCTAGACCAGAAACACGAGCACCTCATTTGCTGGACATCTAATGATGGCGAATTCAAACTACTCAAGGCAGAAGAAGTGGCTAAGTTGTGGGGACTCAGAAAAAACAAAACTAATATGAACTATGACAAGCTGAGCCGAGCACTCAGATACTATTATGACAAGGTAAATTTTGTTATTCTCATGCAGACTAAGAAAGTAGAAATACTACCAGTTAATATTTCTTCTCTCAGTGGAAGCTATTCAAAACTTGCTCAAACTAGTCAAGATAATAGAAGGAAAAAATGGTAGAACACAAATACACAAAGATTGTAGAACACAAATCTTGCATATTTACATTTCTCAGTTTTAGACTAGAATAAATTCAAGGAGTTTCCAAATTGCACCCTTTTTGGATGTGTATTATACTGTTTTTACTAATTGTTATTAAATTTTCTCAGGACTAGTTCTCCTTAAATGGATATTTTTCAGTAAGATATCTAAATTCCAAGCTATTAGGTTTTAGTATTTCCTATATTCTTGAAGATTAAATAGTAATAACAAAGACTGATACAGATTTCATGTATTGAAAAGGGAAGCTTCATAGACATGCTTCGTGGCCTTTTCTCATCTTGATTTTCAGAAAAGGTGGTGAGATGAGATTATAAAGTAAGTAATATTGGTGTTCAGCTCAGTTAGGGAATGTTTGCTGCCTGCATAAGACAGAGGCAAGTAGATATTGTTTCTGGACTGACCTTAGAGTATTGTTATGTATTATTTGTAGTGCACTAATTCATGAAGGATGCAGTGGGGCTGAGTGCTATGCAGACAGTCTAATACATTGTTCAAAAAACATGTTGACTGCCAATTAACAATGAACAATTTGATGATCAGACTTTTCATTATTCACAAGGACTCCTGAAMAATTTTAGTTTCAGATTTAGAGCTGTTAGTGTTTTGTCCACTAGAAGTCAGATTTTCCCACTTAACATGTTTCAAAGATGGACTGACTGAGAAGGCACAAAAGAATTCAATGAGGACAGTGCAGCGGCTGTTCTGAGCAGTTGGTGTGATGAATCCCCTTTTTAAGTGCTAAAAAGGCTTCTGCTCAGCATGGGGAAGCTTGCTTTATTACAGGACTCCAACCCCTCTGGTTATAAACTTGACTGGGATCAATGGAGACAGAGTGCCTGCTAGTGCATGAACAGCATAGCCAGGCAGAGCCCAAATATGCAGTTAGTGACTGAACAGATACTGCTTAAAAACAAGGAAGGAGGTATTTATAGAACTTGTGCTTTGAGATCTCTCGGATMTCTTTGAAGGAATGGAATATAATGGCTCCTTACCTGAGACTCTTGCTTCTTTTATCCTTTAACCTTTTTTCTTAACCCSTTCTGTTTTCAGTTCCTCACCCCCAGCACATCCGCACCTTTGTCATCTGTTTTGTCTCTTTTGCTCAAGCAGCATCTGTCAGAGTGGCTGTACAGTTTCTTCATCAGGACTCTGGCTGAGGCAATTGCTTACTGTTTGCAGAGGTAGTCTTCTGTCTGACAGTTTTATCTGAATGTGGCACAAGGATTTTGGCCATTTTTTCAGGAGTTCTGCAGCCCAATGGAGGTCMTAGCTCCTAGATGGAAAGGAGGATATATTTTCTTCCCCATGCATTGCAATTAAGGTTTGAACTTCAACCCAAACCTATGGATATTTCTATTTAATTTGAAAGAGTAAATAAATCCTTCAGAAAAAAAACTGTGGGAACATCTCACTCTGTGGATATAGGGGTTTATGTCTTGTAGGTTCCCTGTGGAGAAAGGTGGATTATTGGGAGAGTGCAGAGGGACAGAGCAACTTGCTGCAGGTTTTGAAGTGTGAGAGATAATGGCGTAAGACAGCAGATAATGAATCCTTGGAGACTGGCAGGGAGTGCTCAGCAGTGTGTTCAGTCCTAAACGCTTCCTCTGCCTTCAGTTCAGTCAATACTGCAAAGCACAGAAGGGAAGAAGTCAAGAACAGGAAGAAAAGCCCCTTGACGTTCTTCTTTCCCCCTTGCAGAACAAAAAGGGGAAGGACTGGGGTGGTCAAAGAGCCACTCTCAGACTAATGCACTTTTCCTCTAGATCATTCACCAATTTGTGGGATAAAACCAAGAGCAGTCTAGACTCCGAGGTAGCCTTAAGGAGACTTCTGAGATCCTTGTCCCCTCCCTATCGTGCAATGACGGATATGTTGGCAGCTGGGAGTGCTGGGGAAAATGGGACAAACTGAGCTGCAGATGGGGGAGTGGTAGCAGGAAAGATAGGCAAAACTCTGGACTAGACTTCATTTGCATTGTGGATTTATCAACAGGGACTTGTCTACGTGTAACCTAAGTGATGTGGCAGCATATGAGTTTGAGACAAGGGTCAGTGATTTTTTAGAAATTATGGTGGCACATGGGCTGGACCTTCCTTTCTTGGACTGCCCTCTGCTCTTACTGCATGCAGCTGACACTGAACTAACGTTTCATGGTCTATCTTTGAAATTATTCACCATGGAAAAATAAAACCTGATTGCTGGATAAATGGGGGTTTATGAGCTCTGCCTTTTGCTGGGGGGGAACACTGGCTTGTTAAAATTCATCATCTAATTCATCTGAACTTAAAAGTAAATTAATTCCAGTACTGGAGAAAAAGACACAATTAGGACAAATTCCTTAGCCTGGTTATGAAAGCAAGCATGACATGCTGTTGAGGCTGATGGCTAGATTTATGTTAAATTCACATAAAAAGCACCCCAGGAAATGTAGAGTATGGCATGTCTTGATTGTAATTTGCTACCATGATTATAGTTGCTAAAGGTTTGTAGATAATCTGAAGACTCCATTTCCTGTTTCATTTGTTCCCCAAATTCCTCCCCCACCCCCCCCACACACTGTTCTTTTTATTTAATGCATTTCCCCTATTGCCTCAACAGAACAGCAGCACAGATGACAGATAGCACTGAGGAAAGGCATCCTGCACTCTACCTACAGCTTGTGTCCATCATATCACACACTTCTGCCGGTCAGAAATCTCTTGTAATGCTTTCAGGCAAGGAAATGCTTCAGCACTATTTCCATGCAGAGCACTTTAGCTTGAAGTAAAATACCTTTAAAAATAGGGTTAATAAGTTTCTATTTTTTTTCTTGAGTTGCCCAGTTATTTCRTTTTTGCGGTAGCTATAATGGCACATGTGTTTTGGAAGTCACCAGTGGATTCAAAACTACTAAAAGTCTCTATGAATATTTCAAGATGATACCACGAGAGAGAAGCTAGTGAGTTTCCCCATGAGAGTTTTTTTTTTGAGGGAGAGAGGGCGAATCCAGGAAATTACATGTAGATGCCAACATTAATAGGATGTAGCAGTTGTGGAAGTCAAGTCCTCAGAAGCTAGAAAAAAAAAGAATCACAATTCCCTGGATAATCCTAATGTTTGCATGAGTTATGCTGCATCTTTAATTACACAGTCACATACTGTTGTGATGAGCAGCTRTTCAATATTTTTGCATTCTCTCTGAACAGTATGGGGCCCCAGGCTTTACTCAGTGAGTGCTATTCAGTCTGTTTCAGTTGTATTTTCAGTTAGTGGCTGCCCACTTGTTTAGATGGCTTGGCAGTATGATGCATGGTATTAAAATAATATGGGCTGCTTTATGCTTATTGCAGTGCAGGGGACAGGGCTTCCCAGGTGCTCTCAGGATTCGTATGTGCCAATGYTTTCACTCCCCTCCAACAACAGGTCAAACCCAGTGATTTGGTTACTAGTTCCTATTTTTAATGTCCAAGTGTGGGTGGCAGCATGGAAGAATTATTTTGGTACAAGGGTCCCTTGCTTGGGTGCTTTCAGAATGAAGTGATAATGAAAACTATTATTTTGCTTTTGGGAAGGCCTTCTCTTAAGATACCTGAGGGAAAATAAAATCCTACAATGAAACAACAGCAGTATGCTTGTGCTGRAGTACCAGCTGTATGTTTTATACTGGTGCAGGTAAGAGGTTTTATAAGGAAATACTTCAAAGAGCATGAGAAAGTACCTTTATAGAAAACTGGAAGGAACTTCATCCAAGAGTGATTTGTGGAAGTCAAGAAAATGCTTGGCTGAAATATAGTGCTATCCATATGGAAAGATGGGAGTAAAKAATTTGGTATCAGTAAGAGGTGATGGATAGAGGAGAAAAATCAAGGACACCTGCCTCTAAAAGAGCCATGAAATAGTTYATGTTTGATGTGAGAGAAAAGAGATGTCCAGTGAACTGCAGTAGAGAGAGCAGACAACCTGGTCATAGGTGTCAGCCAGAGAAAAAATCTTTGTCTTCCAGATGGAGGTGAGTGAGGAAAGACTGAAATCCAGCTAAATGAGAGCCTTGATCTTCCAAAGGGCAGTACAGGTGCACAGTGTAGTAGCATCTGTGCCTGTGCCAAAAATTTACAAAATCTGGCTTCTACACACACAGCATAATAAGCATAACTGCATAATCTAGGATGTCAGTAGAATCTGCAGGTCTGCACCTACTGATGTGGGTACCCCCCCATTTTTCAGAGCAAACCATCCTGCCACAGATACCTCCTGCCAGCTAATGTACTTTAGACACTGAAGTGTGAGCAGCCCTCTGTCTGGGTAGGGGTTCCAAGTGGGAAGCAGTCTGGATAGAGTTCTGTGTGGAATTTGTAGCCTGTGTTTCCACATGCGTTGCACTCCTCAGTAYTCTTGGAGCAGGAATCTTGCAACACATCTATGCTGGGACTTAAGAGCAGCAGCTACAGCTGTGTTCTTTGTTTCCTGACCCCCAGGGATGTTTAGGACCTACAGACCCATTCATCCTGCTCTGTCATAAATGTTGAGATCTCAGGCACCCTGATTATAGGTCACTTTCTGGGAGGAGTGAAAAAGTCCCACCTGGTCTTCCTGCTCCTGAGGTCCCTCATTAGTCTGAASTTTGACTAGGAAGTGGATCCCGTTTCCCAGCTCAGTCTCCCAAGTGKTCCTGCAGCCAGCAAACTTGCCAACTAACAAGTTTGGGCCAAGCCACTAAAATCCTTCAGTGACACTTGATAGTATAGTTACACACTTGCTCTAGATGGCTTAAACAGGGAGTAGGAGTCAGAGCTGATGAAAATAAACCACAAACACATGATAGAATTCAGGAGGGCTTCCAAAAGTAGAAGTGTATGTGCACAGTTGACACAACCCCTCCCCAGTATTTGGGTTAAATTGCAAGGGGAACCACTCCACCGTGCCTTGGGCATCCAGCTCAGCCAGCTGCTCTGTGGAGGACAGGGGCAGCAGAGACCCATCCCTCTAGCTGGTGATTGAGAGCTCTTGGGTGAGGCTGGTTTTGGAGTGGCTCGTAAAGTGAGTACCTGAAGTGCTGGGGTATGAATAAGCCTGAGCTCCCTTACACGGCTGATGTGCTGGAGCAGGCAGCAGGCAGCGCTCTGCCTGGATAGTATCTGCAGCTTTCTAAGCATTTCCCAACAGAGAGGGGTGGACACATTTGCTGTATCACAGTTTTGTAGACTGGGGACAGAGGAGGGGAAGTGTGAAGTGAGGAACAGTCAAGAAGCCAACAGAAGAGAGGCATTCCCTGCACCTTGCCCTGAGTGTCAGAGAGTGTTGTCTCTTGCAAGATTTTTTTTAAGTTGTTGGACTGGAGCCTCTGCTCTTGTCCCGGTTGCTCATTTCTTCTCCCCAGCAGCTGCATGGACTCAACACTCCTTCCCTGGCTCCCTGCAGCCACTCATTGCAAGGCCTACTCATGAGGAAATTTACCTAGAAAATTCAAATAGCAATATGGTTAAATGTTCACATACATGTCCTGCTACCAAGCAAGTGGTCTAGTCTTCCTGCAGATGCATTCTTTACCCTTTCAAACTGCTTGTTTTGGTGCCTGTCACTGTTTTCTGTAGTTTCAACCATAATAGCTTAGAATTATTCTGACAGATCACTGAGATGATGGTAAAAATACATGGCTTTTTATCTTCAGTTATTTGTAAAAAAATATAGAAAAGTCGGTGCCTTTCAGAGGCTTTTCATTAATTTCTGTCCTTATTTTCTCTTGCACGCTGGTAATTTCCTCAGGCTACACATTTAAGAGAAGCCTGCAAAGTGCTTGAGGGATCTGCACTTGAATCTTTTCATCTCCATCCCTCATTAAGTGGGCCTTTGCTGCAGGCTGGCAGAGTCGGAGGAGCAGCACTCTGATGTTCTTAAAATATAACTATATTTAATAATAACAAAGAAAGGATAAATTCACCAGCCCATTCAGTTGCTTTTTATAGCAATGTTCCCCCATTTCAACCTTGCATCAGTGTAAAAGTGTAGCCCTTAAATACATTTAATGTTGTTCTGCTCAAAGTCACGTTTTCCAAGGACAATCTCAGTTGCTAGTGCTTGAGCAGAGGGAAGCCATTATTTTAAATTTAAAAATATGTGTTAAAGAAAGAAAACAAAAATCCACTTGGGATGGGCTTTTTTCATATGTGAGTATTTTAGAGGTTTTCCTTTTTTTGAAAAAGAATGTGATGCAATATTGAGAGTGAAGAAAAAGTGCATTCATCCAATGTTGCACCTAATTAGCAGTGAAAACAAAACCCTAGGCCAATCCCAAAGCCATGGGAATTAAAGCTCATGCCGACTGAGATCCTGTGGGCTGTTTGTCCTGAATATACGGAGGGCAGAAAAAGACCATGCAGTATCTGCTAGGTGGGTTGATGTGTGTACAATTCAGCATGGAAGAGGGCAGCTTTGGGCCTTTAGTCTGAGCTTGCTGAGTTTTACTCTCTTTGCTGTAGACCCCTGTAATCAGCTTGGGAAATAACATTTTCCATTTGTGCCACAGCTCCTGACCTGTGATGCAAAGCTGCATCCCAGAGTTCTTTGTAGGGTTTGTTTTGTGTTCAAGAAGGTGCCTGAATGAAATGCGAGGACATTCAGACAGATGAATTACAGTGCAGTAGCCTAGCTGAAAGACAGAAGAGGTTCTGATACCTCTTCTGATAAAGGCAGATTCTTCTTTCACAAAATGATCCTTACTTTTGTGACTGAACAAGGTGTAGTGCAGGCACTTACAAGCACCCAGCATTGTGTATTGTTGATATATAGAGGTGATGTTTGTATTCCTTTTTCTTTTTTTTTCATTTTCAGTCAATTTAACAAATGTTTCCACTATTGTTGTTAGAAGCTGTGGTAGAATGAAAAACCAATTAGATTTTTAGGAAATTTGTTAATATTTACATTCCCATATGTAAAGCAAATAAGTTGTCTGCAGAATACTGGAGGTGCAGCAGATGTGCTGGACTAAAGGAAAGCCTCTTGCAAAGGGTTTTTCAGAGATGATTTAACAAACTTCACCAGGGGCTTCAAAAWGAGAAATTAGCATGGAAATCTGAGGACATATTTCTTTTGTTCTGCAGCACTTGGCTTAGGGTGGTAAATGTTCCAGTCCCTAAGCCAGGTGTGTACCATAAAGTGCCTCCATGGAGTAGCTCACACATCCTTGGGGATATCAGGCATGGTGTCAGAGCAGGCAGCCAAGCTGGGTTTGCAGGAGGAGAGCTAGAACTGGAGACAGGACACTCATAAAAAGTCTCAAAAGGAATCAGTTCTTTCCACAATGGGGACATCTGGAAAAAAAAACCCAAAAACAAAAACAAAAACAAAGGTTCTAAAAACCTTTGGGAAGTTTGGAATTTTTTCAATAATTAATTTCCTTGGTCAGTTTAGACTGATGAAAACCTGCCTTCAACAGTGAGCATCTTGAGCCTAATGCAGGCGTGGACATAGTGCAGGGGATACTGCAGGACACAAGTAYTTTTTGAGCCTGTGCAAGGGGTTGCATTTTTCGCAGACATAAGTTCATGATCATTGAAAGAAGAACAATCGCTGTTGGATTAGCTCAATCATTTCTTTATGTGGTAAGGAGCAGAGGCTAAAAAACTGGGGCTAGGAGGCAGAGGTGGTTTTGTTCCTTGCAGATATTCTGAGAGTACTTCATCGTCAGGGTAGTAGGTTTCAGTTTTGGAGGGCATAAACGAAGRTGTTTGCCTTCATTGTGGAATGCAAGTGGTGGCTCAAATCCACAAGGCTGCAGAATTGCTTTTACTGTAAAGAAAATATTCCCAGGCTGCTTCAAGGAAGCAGAAGTACATCAAACCCCCAGTCGGTCTTTGTCACTTAGTGATGGTGATTTTGTTGGCAACCATGAGGAGCTGGGAGTGGACTTCCTGGCTGAGCAGAGAGAGGTATTGGAATGAGCCAAGGTGATCAGGATTTGCAGCCCCATGAAATGACCTGCATAGCTTGATRAGGGAGCAGTGCCCTCACCCTTGTGTTTGCGGTACTGAGTGCCTCTAAAATGCTGATCTTTCTAGCACCTTCTTTGTATTTGCAGAACATCATCAAGAAAGTGATTGGACAAAAATTTGTATACAAGTTTGTCTCCTTTCCTGAGATTTTAAAAATGGATCCACATGCTGTGGAAATCAGCAGAGAGAGCCTTTTGCTGCAGGACAGCGACTGTAAGATGCCTTTGGAGRGCAGGGATCAGCACAAGCACAGCTTGTCAGCACTGAAAAGCACAAGCCGTAATGAATATATCCACTCTGGCCTGTACTCCTCTTTCACGATCAACTCTCTGCAGAACCAGCCAGACCCTTACAAGACAATCAAAACAGAAAAACTGGAGAAGTCAGAAGGAAACACACCAGTTGAAGAAGTCCGGACTGTTATCAAATTTGTGACAAACAAAACAGAGAAACAAATTATGAGGCCCGTGGTGCCGTTGCCTTCTACTTCTGAAACAGCAGCTCCCTCTGCTTTCCTCAGCTCTTCAGTATCAGCTAAAATATCTTCCTTAATGCTACCCAACAGTGCCAGCATTTCATCTCCATCATCGTCCTCCTCCAGGTCACCATCTCTGTCTCCCACCTCACCCCTCACTACAGAACACAGGAGCTTCTTCCTTGAGTCCAGTTGCCACGACTCAGATTCCCTTGAGCCTCTGAACCTCTCCTCAGGGTCCAAGGCTAAATGCCCATCTCTTCCCCAAAAGGCTAAAAAACCCAAAGGCTTGGAAATCTCTGCCCCACCTATGATTCTCTCCAGCACTGACATCGGTTCCATCGCCCTCAACAGCCCTGCACTCCCTTCGGGATCCCTGACTCCAGCTTTCTTCACTGCACAGGTAAGACTTGCCTGTCTCCAGGCATTCCCTTTATGTGGCCAAAAGTGTTAGTTCTGTGGGTCTGTAATCATGTGATAGGGAAAAAAAMCCCAACATATAGAAGAGGGGGAGACAACAGCAGTGCTCTAAACAAGGGGTGGAAAGTAGATTCCTCCTGGGGTTTGTTCATAATTAAGTGTGGGAAAAGCCATCACAGTTCACAAACTGCCTGGAAGGATTAAGAGATAGGCAGCTGTTAGTGGATTGTTATCAGTTCAAACCAGCCTCCAGAGCTACAAAACAAACAGGAAAAAGTAAAAAAGAAAACCACAGAGGTTTTGTAGGTCACAGCTTGAGCATGTGGGATGCTTGGTTAGATTTCTCTGCTAGATGTTGCATCCATTCAGTCTGTGGGACCTCTTTGTTAATTTTTGAATACAAAGCAAATTGAGTGGTTTCTGAGACAGACTCTGAAGTCAGTTTCAATTTCTGAAGCTGTACAGATCCACAGAGTACTTGCCAGAGCTTCCCTTCAACATGGACTTACTGAGTAAACAGAAGGTTATATTGTTCTTTTCAATAACATATTTGTGGTAATGTCAACAGCAAGTTCTCATTTTCAAGGAAGTCTATGAAAGAAACCCTGAGAGTTCAGAGCAGGAGGGGGAAAAAAAAAATATATATATATATATATATATATGATTCAGTATGTTAATTGGTGAGTTTTGTCTTACACTACCTCCTCAAAGTGAGACAAAAAAATTCCAAGAGTAAAATTATGCCAGTGTAGCACAGCCCCCAAAATCCCCAGACCTGAAATAACAGTTGATGCAAACACTAGCATTGAATGTGGCAAACCGGACAGCAAATAGGTACATACAAAAGTGTGTTACAGGCCCTCACTGACTTTGGGCTGTTTGGAGGACACATGATAYCCAGAATCCTATCGCCTCTTTCCTGTTTGAAGGTGTTGGAGGTGTTTGATGCGGGCAGCACTGTTGCTGCACGGCATAAAGGCCTGACAGAAGTGAGGGTGTTGGCAAGTGCTCTCAGCCAGCACAGCACTTGGTCTTCCYGAGCTTTTCATCTGCCTGCAGAATGAGTTTGTGCAGCTCAAGCACACCAGTAAGCCACTGAGATACAAGTTGTGTCACAACGAAGAGTTAGTGGGCTGACACTTGTCATTTTTGACATCATAAAGCCTTTAAATGAATTTATGTTTGGCAGGAAGAACAGAAGTGTGGCAAGCCAAAACTGAGATGCATTGACAAACTTATAACCTCTAACTATAGTATAACCACAGTATTTTGTCTATAGGGAGCAAATCTGACACATCACATCAAATCCAACCAGACACAATGACAGTGTGAGTTATTACAAACCTGCTTTGATCTACTGCTGCCACAAACCACAGGATGAACAGAGACTGTTTCCTCATTTTGTAATTATTTCTTTGAATGTTTATTTTCCTTTATCTATAAACTGGTGTACTTAGTGCCCCAAAAGATGTAGAAGGGAATTAGGTCAAGGATTGTGGCACTCCTTTAGCAGGAGGGATAGCTTAGGCTGTGATAAATGTAACACCACTTAAAGCCATCAAAAATCTTTTTTACAGGTTGTCCTATCACAGAAGAGGCATATGKCATCTGTGTAGGATAGTTCCTGGGTCTAATTATTTAAACTTTTGGCTTTGCAGCAACGTAGCTTTTACCCTCTCCTTTAGCCTTCTTTTTCTAGTGTGGWTAAGAAGCACCCTGCATCCTAAACACTTGTCCTACTGAATATAAAATAGCTGTGTTCAGATAACTGTAGTATCACAATGGAAAATAACTAAAGCCGTAATTCAGACTGGCAATATGCAGTTCATCCCATTATCCAAGGAAAAACATGCATTATATGTCAAACATTCTCTGATCCATCAGATCCCAGTGTGAAACACCTGCTAGCATGGGCAGGTGCACAACAGKATGTCTGCTTCAGCAGTGATGTAGGTTCTGAGAAGGTCCTGCTGCCTGAGAGGATATTTCAAATGGCTTTCCACTGTACCTGCTGGTCATGAGGAATCCCCTCTGGTGGAATGCTGTGAAAGGGCACACGATACACACAGTTTGAGAGCAGAAGTGAGTGTGTGACAGCACTTACCTGTTATCTCACAGTTAGCAGTGACAAGATTGTACTTACACACATTGTCAGATTGTACTTACAGAAGTCAGGAGCTGTAAGCATCATTACTTCACATAATCCTCTCTATGCAATGAATTATTTCTATTTAAATTGTTCCTGTGCTTAGATTATAATGACGTTTGTTAAATAGGAACTTCCCAATGGGTTCCACATCTAATACCAGATGTACAGCTGCATGTGGGCAGAAAATGAAGTGACACATCAATTTTCGCATGTAATTTAGGGGTAGCCTGTCCTGTGATGTTGTTTACACTTAGGTTTCCTCTGGTGGTTTTGATTCTTGGCTGATGGCAGTACTGAGAGCAAGCCTGGGAGGCCCTGTGCTCTTTTTGTATTAAATATTAAACAGATTTGGAGGGTAACTTTGGCTGGCTCTTGGTTCTGGCGGAACTTGCAGGTATTAGTGCTCTTCTCATCAAAGAGTGTGAACTTTTGCTTAGCACTGTTATTAGGCATGTTAACATGCTTCCAGAGGTGAATGGAGGGCAACCCAGTTTCAGGTGTCTGGAGACTTGCTCTGGCTGCATCTAGGTACCAATAAACACCTTTAAGTTTTCCTCGTTATTTTCAAAAGACCACCTCAAAAACTGCTCTTTCAATTCTGGATGTCTGTGGCTTCTTAGAGAAAAAATAAAAACCACAGGCTTCTCACTGGAGCTCTTAGTACCGTTGACACAATGCTGTGTCCTTAGTTGAATGCTTTTGGGTCTTGCTACTTACATCTTTGGCTCTAAGGTTAGTAGGCTCCTCTGTAAGTAGATCTGGGTATTTATCCTGACCTAATTCAGTCTGTTGTCARTCTCATAAATCTCCATTGATAGCTGCTTGCCAGTGGAGCATCAGCTTGAAATACAGAGCAGGAAAGGGGCTCTCACTGGTGTGGCTGATTTTCTTCCCCATGAAAGCACCATGGTCCTGGGAAGAGAGTAAAGGAGCTGTTCACAAGTGCCCGCTTGTCAAGTGTTAGTTTTTTTGGGTTTTTTTGACAAGAGTTGTCACTTGATGAGATCAAGTCTGAAGTCATCTCTTTGCCAGGTCTCCACCACTTTTGCSACATTTGTTGTCATGCAGATATATCCCAACCCTTACTGGTACTCCTGTGACCTGCTGATTTACTGCAGCAACACCTTTTGCTTTTCCAGCAGGAGGTTTATTACTCCTTGGGACATAACTGCGTTTTCTTCCATGGGGTTTGGTGTTTCTGATCCATCTGCTTCAGCACAAGAAAGCTGGCAGGGTCCTATCCCTGSACATTTCTCCACAAATCCCACTTCTTCTGAGATTCCTCAGCAAAACCATTCAAGAGCAGCCAAGGTCTTTGTGTCTTCAGCCTTATCTTCAGCCTTTCAGACAGCTGAATCACCAGGATAACTTCAATGTTTGCTGCTCCTTGTCTTTCCCATCTCTTCTGCTGGTGCCAAAGTAATTGTTTGACCCTGTTGTGAACTGCAGTGCAAGCACGTCACAGCAGGTTTSTGTTCCTGTGCATCTGCACAGAGCCCCAAACACAGCAGCCGATGCCTCAGGCACTGCTTTGCAAATGATGTCTGTGATACTCAGAAAGGCACGAGCTGTGGCAGCGCCTGTGTGAGCCTGCTGTCTGCAGGGTCCTGGCAGAGAATGGGGTGTGATGGGCCCTGGTGTCAGCAGCTGGCAACAGAGACCCCCAGCTACAACTGCCCTGTGCGGGAGTTTATGTTTCTGGGCCCAGTGGGGAGCACCAGAATACATCATGTGCTGGTTACTACAGGAGATATATGAGAAGCTCATATGTCATTATACTATCATTATAGAGATACTTTCTATCTTCTGGTTTTTCTTTACAYATTTTAATCTCTGGACAAAAGGATGCCCCAATTCAGCAGAGCACTGAGGCAATTGTTCTACACAGCGTACTTGCTTGCTAAGTGTGTACTCAAATTCCATTAAGTGCTTTGCTAAATAGGACTGATTTTGATAATTGGCATCAAGATTACTGGCGAGATTAACTCATTATACCATTACTTTTTCAAAACTGTCACACGTTCATTTTTTGAATGATAAAAGTTACTCTGGATACAGAATAATTCACATAATTCTTCATTTGACTGAAGATTTGCATGTGCTCTAACTGTAACTCCCCTCCAATTGTGCTTTCTGAATGCTGAGGGCAATCCCAGCAATTCTTATGCACCATGGCACTGGAAGGAGGCACCTCTGAGTTGGGAAAAGCCTTGGATTCTAAGTCTTGCCATTTAGTTTCTTTTCAAACAATTACTTGTGCTCTCTGCTGTCCCCCTGGGCACCCAGCCCACACACCTGCCTCTCCCTGCTCAGCCCATGCATTGCCAGCTTCTTGAAGCCTCTTCCAWTACAAAGAGGTGCCATCAGGGGCATAAACGTCACAGGCCAGAAGTGGCCAGCACTGACTCTTTCAGCTGCACACACAACTGTGGTAATGATTCAAAAGCTGCAGTCAGGTCGAGGAATTGCTGCCCTTCAAAAGGTAAAATGTGATTCTAAAAGAGACTAGGTGGTGTTGGCAGGCACTGGGGCACACAGGGTGTTATTCTATATGTTATTCTATATATTATACAGTTGTATGAGTCTGGTTCAAATAAATAATAAATGTGCATCTCATTAAGCAAATAGAAATTAAATCAATTTGCATATGAAAGCTTATTAAATGCACAGGTACTGACCACTGCAGAGACAGGATGCRGAGCTGGATGGGCAGCTGCTGCTGACCATACTGTATACCTGAATACACTAAGAAACAGAGCCAGTATCTGATGTGTAAGGCTTTAGGGGTGGTGAGTGCTGCATGGAGCTGTAACTCTGAGCTGCACATCATGGGGTGTTTTTTGTCTTGCAGACCCCCAATGGATTATTGCTGACTCCAAGCCCGCTGCTGTCTAGCATTCACTTCTGGAGCAGCCTCAGTCCTGTCGCTCCTCTGAGTCCTGCCAGGCTGCAGGGACCAAACACTCTGTTCCAGGTAGGTCTTCCCAATRCACGGATTTTATTGCTAAAGGTGCACATGCGGAAGAGACATTGGGGGAACATCTCAACACATTGGTCTGGAGCTGTTCAAACAGATCAAGAAAATACAGGAGTTAGCAGGCACTTTTAAAGAGRGGCCTACTTATTTGTACCCTCTTGACAGCACAGAATCTACAGGGCAGTGTCTGCCACAGCAAGCACACACATATTGTGTGAAGGAAAGAGGAAATAAATGCTGTGAGAGCAGATAGCTGAGCTCTCAGAGCTGCAGGAAGGGAGCACAGACCAGTCAGTTTCCAGCCGGGAGAGGGTTGGAACACGGACTATGGAAAAACCAAGAGCAGTCTGTGTCACCCAGTGAGGTGAGTGTAGGTTTATCCTTTTGTCCTAATGAGCTGCTTCTCACTCAGAAAGACAAGGCACTCTGAACCTGAAGGCTCCATTTCCAGTTCTCCCGCCGATTATCCATGTGTCCTCAACCAAGGACATACCTCTGTGTGTCACCTCACCGTATGTAACAGCAGAAAGGCAGCAGTCCACTCTCTCCTGAGTATTGGCAGAGTAAAATCCATGGAGCTCAGGGCTCCTTATTTGTGTTTCAGATAAACTCATTAATCTCTGCTGGACCTTAGTTTTGCACACATGGTTAGAAACAGCCAAACATTTCATCTGAGAAGTGCCTGCGCCAMGGCCTGGAATGAGCTTTCAGTTCCCTGGCGGAACTGAAAGTGAGGACTGGCCTTGGCTTTCCCCTCTGAGAGACCCAAAGGGCCTCATAAATGATGTTTGGTTCAAGCAAAGGCCACAATGACAAGTTGTAGAGCACAAAGGCTTATTTTAACAGCAAATAGGAAATGAAAACCACAGCTGAAGCCCAGCCAACCTCACCGAGAACTGATGGGTCAGCCAGTGTGGGCATCAGGACAGAGCTCTCCTCAGGCTGCCTGCACAGGCCAGTCCACACTCCRTGCAGCTGCCCAGGAAAGAGCTCATCATCACGTTCTGTGCTTTAATGCATCTTGGTAGAAATGATGGAAGCATTTCCTGAGGTTTGGTATGCTTAAAGCAGAGGTATCAGCCAGTCCTGGCCACAGCAGGAGCATGGTGCCAGATCCCCCTGCAGCACCATGCTGCTGAGCCTGTGCTGCTCCACCCAACTTCACAGGGGTGCTGGAAGACACCTACTGCCATCTCAGTGGGAGAGTAAACTTGTTAGGAGCGGGTTGTTGTATGCATGTGGAGGGGGTGGTTACACTGCAGGTGGCTGTCCAAGGACTGATCTGATAAGGGGTAAAAATACACCAGATGCTTGAACTTCARCGCTCTGTTTTCAGCTCTGTCTCCCTCAAGCTAACAGAAACGCAGCACAGCTCATGCAGCTGAGTCTTGAGGCCAGATCAGTATCTACCACTGGGATAATTCTGGCTTCGTGCTGCAGCAAGTTTATTCCACCTACTTGCTTTATTTTTTTTCAGGTCAGATGGTAAGAAGTAGTCAATACAACCACTGCAGGCAAGGTACAGTCACGATGCCATCATGACCTAGAAAGATATGGCATCTGTATTGAAGAAGGTTTTTGCATGTTATTTCAGAAGTAGCAGGCTAATATAAATGACAATACATTCTGCTTCACAAGCTGAATGACCCGGTGTAGCTCATTTGTCGTTTCTGAGTGAATACAGAAACTGTAATTACTTGTGAGTAATTTCATGCCTTGTATCCCCAGTTGTACATTTTCTACCCTAAAACTACATCTCAGCTCTCACTTTTGCAAAACTCTTTCCTGCATAAAGACAAAAAGGATGTATTGTAATTAATAGACTGGAGACTGAAAAACATTTTTGGAAGCAGCGTGGACGGCAAAGATTTTTCTTCAGTGTTCACTTTCCCAGGGTGATGATAAATGATAAATGAACTTTTCTATAGAATGTAGCCAATAACGGATTTCTACATCCTCATGCATTTACAAATTGCTTGGTTTTGCCCTCTGTTTTGCATTCTGAATGGATGCAGGCATTTGGTATATTACTGTGTAGACATCACAACTCTTGAAACCATTTGGAGCCAGCTRCTAATGCTAAATCCATGTGCTTTTTGGGCTGAATGCCTTGAGATACAGAGTAATTTTTATCTTTTGGCCTCTTACAGTTTCCAACTCTACTAAATGGTCACATACCAGTGCCACTCCCCAGTCTGGACAGAGCCTCTTCACCAGTACTGCTTCCTCCAAATGCTCAGAAATCCTGATGACAGCTCATCACACCTAGGATGCATTGGTGGATTTAACACTTCATTCCTATGGGCTAATTTTTCCTGTGTCATGAGAAGGACATTGTGAAACCCTTTATTACTTTAGTTTGCACTTTTCATTACATGGATAATCTACTTTTATTATGTTAGCATTTTTCAACAGTGTTTATATATGAAAGTATATATAAATCTGTTATGCATTAAATGAATTATAATTTTTTTTAACATAGCTCTCGAGTGTTGAACATTTCTGTTGTTGATGAAGTACTTTTCATAATGGATTGCAACAATGTATCTAACAGGGATGYGAAGCTTCTTTTTAATCCCTTTTCCTGCATATTATGCATTGTGCTTGTGTAAACTATAACCGGCTGTGCCTTCTTTTGCATAAAGTCATGTAAATGATTTATATATTTTCTAGTATTAAGATAAAAAGTTGAAAGAAAAAAACAAGTATTGAACAGCCCTATGGTAGTATTTCAGTTATTTTCTCCATGGATAGGCCATATGATGCAGTGTATTAATATAACTTTGTATTAAGTGCTTTCAAATTGTATAAAAATAGCCTTGTAATTTTTCTCTTCTCTAATTGCTGAAGTGAAAAACGCAGTCCATGTTACTTACAGTCAGGAGATGTAGTTCAGAGTAACAAAGACACATTTACACACTTATGCCCATGTTCATCTGTCAACTTGCAACAGGGAGGAACTGGGCTGTGTATGTTCAGGAGACATTTCCAGTATTTGAGAGTACTGTAGAAAAGGAGACATTGCTCACAATTTATTTGGCCTATACTTCTACAGCTGGAAAGAGTGCAGRTAATCTCTGTCCTCCCAGGGAATGAGGATCATTCCCGATAATTTCCAGGTGCTTTGTTCAGCTGTGCCAAGTGCCTTCTATTACTTCCCTGGAAAGACTGTTGTAGCAACTCAAGCTCAGAAGGTCACATTTCCCCTTCCCCCAAAGCTGGAAAAGTTACAGGTCTGTAATTGATGCCTGGTGCTTGCAAAGAGGCAGAGACTGTACATGTGGGATGTTTATGTATAAACAGCTGAATTCTGGATGAAAACAGCACTGTATTACTGTATACTTGCAACTTGAGCTTACTGGGTATGTCCTCTACCTTGAGGGGATGGCTTAGTCATCTAAATGTCGGGTTAGGATTAGGCCAGACTCCCTGGCACCACRGACTCTAATCCTGGTAGGGCTGATGCAAATCTCCAGTTTTCTGAGGTGGTTAWATGGCTTGAATGCAGCTTTACTGTCGGTTTTTCAGATGAGACCTTAAAAGCCAACCCCAAACTTATTCCTGTTTGTGACAGGTCATTCGAACCTCTACTTCGCTTTCTGGCCAAGCAGCTGGCCACGGTCTGTTTTTTTTTAAATGTATGCAGTGAGTTGTCTGCTATTTTCTGCTTGAATGCATTTCAGTGATGATGTGTGTAGTTATTTGTAAAGTGCTTTTGAATCCTTCAACCTGAAAGGTGCTAAATAAACATTTTATTAATGCAGTTCTGATGTTGAAAAGCCATTTTTGGGCCAGAGGTGGTTGACAAAAGACAGCAGGAATTTTCCTCAGGCTCCTGGGTTGCACAACCAAAAATGACTGCTCAGTTTTATCACTTGCAGTGATAAAACCCTGCTGTATCCATGTAAGTAGCTGGTGATAAACAGAGCCATTAAATGCCAGACACRAGGAGAACAAATGAAGCGCTTGAGACGTCATTTGCTCGACTCAGCATTTCAAGAGCTCAAGATGTGCCACCCCACAGAGTCAAAAATAGAAGATGAACCTACGCAAAATTTATGAGTGGATGCAAATTTTATAAAAAGTAAAATCAGAATAGGTTGGAAGACATGGCAGCGTGTAACTGACGGGATTGATGAGGCTGGTGGAGATAAATCACACGTTTTTCTTCCAATGCATTCCTCCCAGATACAGGGAATATTTTTCAGTAACTGAGTTATAGAGAGGCAATTATTTCACACTACAGAGCTACCTCTTGCCTAATTGTTAAAAAACCATGAATACCTGCTTACACTTACAAGGCAAGAACAGCAACATAGAACTTTGTGTCTTGTACGTGCCAGTGTAGCTTATAGGAGAACCTGGCATCAAGGCATGATAAGGTTCTTACAATGAATTTATAAAGTAAAGATATTTACTCCTGAAAATAGTATTGACTATTACACTGCAAAAAAACCCAGATGAACATGAGATGAGGGAGCATATGACAGAGATTCTTAAAATAACCTGGATTCTCATGATTTTATTTCTTCCAAGATTTTACTATTAATAAGGCAGATTTTTTTCTTCTCAAAAGGCTCAACACACCCACACCTTCCCTCCAACCCTCCAGCCCTTGAATGATTTTGGAATGTTTTTTAAAGATAGCAGAAAACAGCAATTCTGGGACAAAATACTATTTCAAAAAATTACTGGAAATTATCTGAGAGAATCCAATGAAACAATGGAAGACACACAGAAACTGTACTGTCTTCTCATCTTTTAGAGAATAAAAGTATCAAGAGAACACATCTTCTGCTAGTTGACTCTTCAGTTGAAAAAAATAGGCTGTTAAAATAAAATCTGCCTTCTAAATCAAYAAGTAATGGGGAACAAAAATTTTTTGCTGTTGGGAAGAATTTATAAAGTCCAGCCTCTCAAGTCTAACACTTATATGAAACACTAGACTGTTACGCCTTATGCTTTGAAGAAAATACTCCATTGGTAATCTACTGAGTTTTATTAACAGGTATCTTTTTAACTGTAGAGAAAAATCAAATAAATGTTTTTAAAAGAAATACTGTGGAAGTGTTAATATTTCTGCGGCACGGAGAGCTCCAAGCCAACAATCCTGGGAAACAAAATGGGAATTATTCTCTCTTCAGTATTCTTGGTAGTAACTGCAATTTGATCATACTTGAGAGATTTACACTTTCCTCATGCTTCGGTAATACACCAAAAGTTTCCAGTACCACACAGGCTGGATGCACGATTAGGATATTTTTGGCTTACCTGCAACTTGCTTTCAGAAAAGCAAGTTGCCCCAGATCCAGGGGAGCTTTGCCAGGAGTTTGGGCTCATCTTTGGCCCTGGCACAGGTAAGCAGCTTCAGTTCTAAAGAAAACTTTCAAGGTGGGGAAAATAGTGATGGGTGATAAACTATAGGAAAAGATCGGACACACATCCATTATGTCAAGAAAGAAACATTTGTTTTGTCCGAATAAAACTGGTCTCATTAGACAGGCACTTAYCCATCCAGAAATACCCACCAAAGAAGTAAAGAACAGTCAGTAAGATTTCTGTTTGAAGGGGASGTGGTCCTTTCAAACAAGACCATAGGGTTAATTTTAACACAACCCTCTGCATTAAGAAGCTGTGTGATCTTGTGCCTAAAGAAAATATCTTCAGAAGCCACCATGACACCCAAATGAATTTAGAAGAGGCACAGTAAGCACAGGTAATCTTTTATGTAAGGGTATAGCTATTCCCTTCTGATCTTCAGACTGTCTGCATATCCAGTAAGATAAACAAACATGGGTCCCTCAGATTTAAGCATATCCCTCCAAAGTCACCAGAAAACTACAACTTTTAAAATCCCTTTTAGCCCCGAACTGTAACTGCTCTTACCAATTAATGTGCGAGTGCTCTGCCTACAAGATGGAGTACAAACCTATTTCTTGAGGGCAAAGAGACTTAACAGCACTAATGAGAAGCAGTATGAATTTATTTAAATGAAAATAGCAGAATGAACCTCAAGCAATGACTCTGGAGCAATCAGCATCAAGGCCTGCTTTGGGTGGGGGCTGGTATTTGAAGAGAGCACCCTACAAGACAGGATTCTAGGATATGCTGGAGTTCTTCTGCGAAAAATTCCCGTCAGTTCACATTCACTCTGCAAGAAGCGCAAATACATAAATGCAACCTAAAATATTCCTAACATGGCTCCAGGCCAGCTACCCCCTCCTGCACATCAAATAACTAGACAGCAAAGACAGGGAAAAGCAGTCTTTGCAAAAACAAGCTCAGGGTGTGAAAGAGGAAAGGCAGGTGGCAGCACAGACACTGCCAGGCAAGGCCTGGAGGGAGATGCTCCACAAGAACATGTTGGAGAAGAGACAGGGAAGAGAGTTATCCCTGGTTTGAAAGCCACAGCAATGGCAACTCCATCAGCAGAAAGATCCCACTGCAATAAATGAAGGAACTTCACTGCTCTCTGGGGAAAAATGTGTTTCAAGGCAGGCCATCTGAGCCAGGTAAGACTTGTATTTCATCAGGGGGACGATGAAAGTGCTGTGCTCAGGCAGGCCTGCTTCTTGAGAGAGTTTGGAGGATGCAACCAGCACAGTAAAYTAAACAGTTACTTACCACAGCAGCACAGTGTTATGTGTGCATTCACAGTTTAAGATTGCTCAAAAGGTACAGAACTTAAACGAGTTAAGGGATTTTAGAAAACATGCAAAAGTAATCGAAAATTGTTCATGTTTTCCACTGACATCAATCTCACTTTTGTGAGAGAGTTTGTGAGAGAGGCACAGTACTGCCCAAAGTCACATACAAGAGATTTAAAAAAACAATCTAGAATATTTGAACTCTAATCCCAGTTCTGAAAACAGGTTCCCACTACAGCCGAGAATGGGACTATGATTTCTCTGCAGCTGAACTCCACAGATAAAAAGGGTGCATGGTAGGAATTCCAAGGGCCATGCATCTTCTTGGCTTTTATRTTTTTCGCAATCATCCCAGCTGTACAGTCAGGGTTTACCTGCAACGTTCCAGCTGCTACACACTTCCTTTATGTTTGGCCAATCTCTTAAACCGGTATGGCACGGATACTGGTGAGATACGGCTGAACAACAGAGACCAAATGGGAGCATTAAGTCTCTAACAGCCCAATCTCTGAAAAAATAAACTGCCCCAAAAAAACTATGCCCAAACTGGATAAAGTAAGCATTTAAGTTCCTTCCCAAAATTAAGGCATTTCATAGAGATGTTGCATTTGTTTTAAAGCCAAAATTTCTGAAGGTAAATAMGGTACTGAAATGTGCTAACAGGGTGCATGAATTACTTCACCTCTGCTCATCAGTGACCAGACAAAATGATCACGTCACAGACAAGGTAGATTCTGATTTCTCTTCAATGTCACCATGTGCTATAGCTCTGTATTTCCATAACCTGATTTGTTTGGATTTCTTTCAGGTTTGACCTTAATTCCGAGTATTTCCTGGGTTTWTAATACTTAGCCTGGGGATATTTACAACATACCTTTCATATATTTTGTCCTCAATAATAAAATGTATTCCTAACCTTAATTCCATTTTAACATTGCAGAACAGAAACAATGTACCTTGATTACAYTGAAAAACTCATGCACAAACAACAAGCAAGCAGCCCAAAGAACACTATCTTGCTGTTTTTTCAAATGATTTGCAAATACAAAGTATGTTGATTCTTCAATAATTGTTTATTTTAACTTTTATTGCCCAGTTCAGGGATACACTCTGGCTACTTGATGCTGTGGTAAAGCAGCACAAAAATAACACAGCCATGTTGAGATGCACGTTCCACTAGTGCATTGCTGAGCTATTGGTTTGCCCCTTCCATCTCCCACCCTGTCCTGTCAAACCCCATCTTGCAGCCACACCCTCTCTTCAACCTTCACCTGCACGTGAATGCAGCCACATCAGCAGCACCTGCCTCTGTCCTGGCTTCCAGGCCACCTTACTCTGACACACCGACACCCACACCTCGCCATCCCTACCCTGGGCTCGGTGGGACACACAGGTATCTTCTACAAATAATTACCTAGAATCAGCCACGACTTGCAGGCCATTTCCCATCAACTGACCACTCATCTTCAAKCAAAGGTGGTCATACCAAACACTAAATGTCACCCATCTTTAGCGACTCTCTGCATGGTTTTCATCACATTTAAGGTCTTCTCCSAAAAAGGCCAACACTCCTACAGCTCCTGGAGACAGTGAAACCATGTCCATAGTACCTGATTCTGCCAGACAGGAGGCAGAGCACCACTGCAAGGATATCAGAGATGCCCAGCAACTTAAGACTTGCTGACTACTTCCCCAACAGGCAACTGTCACAGAACTGTCACCGTAGATGCAGGAATTTCTATAGGCAATTTTAAAAAGCCCCAAGCTGGCTTGACCAGAGACGCCAAGTTTCTTAAATACTTTCTTTAAAGCTACCTCCTAATGAAGAACACAGATTCACTTGTAGGTCCTCAGAAAAAATTTCTTTATAAATAGACTGCTTTAGTTTTACGGAAGATCTTCTCATCTGTAATGCAAAAGCTGAATTCCTACTTAAAATGGAACATCCTTTTGTTAGCTGCAGCTGATCCCTTTCTAAGTTTATTAATGCACTTCATTTCACCAGGTAAACCTTTAAGTCCTTTACTCATTAGTGTCACATTATTACTTGTTCTTTTATGACCTATAAAGTACTACTGTTCTAGAAACGCTAAATCCCACATCTATCCACAGTGACCATTGCCCTATCTTCACTACTTCTGTAAAAAAAGGGAGGTGTTTTTCTGATACTTCTGTCTTCAACACTGTCACGCCTACAACATATTACCTACAAAGTTAAATCAGTATAAAATCTAGATCAGCTCCATAGCAACTATAAAAATATATATAACAACTATTTCGGGACAAGGTTTTCCATCAGTGCCAACTCTGCCTCCGCCACACACGCAGCACTCCCACTGGGATCAAGGGGAGCCCCGTGTGTGTATCCGARGCTCGTGTTATGCTCCCGGGCCGTGTGACATGCAGGGCTTGCTCACCAACCATGAGACTGTGGGCCACGCTACCGAGAAAATCCTGAGCAGCCTCAATCACAGATGGGTCACTCACTGTTCACTGCCACTACTTCTGCACTGAATGAACCAAAGGAGCGGCCAAAGACAAGAGCAGAGGCTCCCACAACACACAGACCTCGCTAAATGCTGCCAAAAATGCCCCAAGAACTGCAAGTTTGCTTAGTCTGTATTTTTAACAACACAGGGCTTTTGTTATTATAAATCTCAAAACAAAACCAAAGAATTCCACATAATATTTATACTTTCAAAAGTACAATATTAATACAGGTCCGTCAGTTAGAAATAACAGCAGTTTGTTAGGTCTACAAGATTTAACGTAAAACCGGTTTACAAATGCTGAAAAGCAGTAGTGGTCCAATAGTCACCGTGACACATGAATTTCCCTCTTCCGAAAAATAAAATAAAAAAAAAAAGAAACCCAATTCAAATTTACTAGTATCAATGAAATATTAATAAAACACCCCCAAACATGCCACGATCACTATTCACAAATAAAGTTAAAATGAAATATACAAAAATTCACTTAATACTGTTAAATAACAATAAACTACAAGATTTCCTGATCAGAAATGGTAGGACCCCTGAACGTTTTACAGTGAATGTCAGGAAAAATTAAGTTACCTATGACTATTTTCATGATATACCAGCCAAAGATTTACATGACCATTTCAAAATATACCAATAAAGGTTTACAGTCTCTTTAAGATGCACTAAACAAATAGATTCATAAAGGTGAACACAAATGCTTAAAAATACTGTAACCATCACCAAGGGTGTACTTATGATACTCACTGAGATGCATAAGCATAGCAGTAATATGTTTACTATCTCTGGAAAACAGGTAACATCTAAGATCTGAAAAACTCTCTAAGTTCCCGTTGTAAAAGCTCTGTAGCATAGTGAGTTCTTSTCAAGTACAAACTTGCATCTTTCCAGTTGATTTC